CATCAAATAAAGAGTCATTATCCAGATCTCGTTTAAAACAACGATCGTGTTTAGAGGGATGAACTGCATACACAAAATTTTAACTAAATCAAATTTATCGAGGTTGAGTATGCTCAAACTCGATTTGGTGAACAAGTGTAGTGTAGCTGAGCTCCAGCTTGAGTTGAGCTTAGCTATGGAGCTAAAATTTTAGCTCAAGTTTGGAAGAAGATTGGGATTATGAGAACTAAAATTAAAGAGTTTTCGATTCTTATATCTTCTACGGGACAACCACTCTTATTTTTCAAGGAATATGTTCTAAACCCACTTGAGTTATGGTGGTTAGTATCTGAGTTCGAAAGAGTAGTTAATGCAAATCTAAATACGATGTAACAAAAAAACAAAAAAAAAAGACTAAATTTATTGCTAAGAATTCTTTAAAAATTAAAGTCTAAAACTTCAATAATCAAACTTAATGTAATTAGGGGTGTTAATCGAGCTAAATTTACACATAAACGAGCTGATTCATTTGACTATTTACACATAAACGAGCTTTAAAAAATGTTCAAACTTGACTTGTTTAACAGTCCTAAATGTAATCAATTTCTTAGTAAAAATCTATCAAACGTTGAATAATCAATCATAAAATAACACTCTTAAGTATATTAGGAGAAAAAATAAAGGAAGAGAGAAGTATATATGATTTATTTACTTATTTAGGGATAAATTTGAAATTATTTATTTTTGAATATAAATTATTTGACCATAAAATTAGAATTATGTATACAAAACCTATTCGATTTCAACAATACATTGTTTGGATTATACTCATTTATAAAACCAACTTAAAAATTTGGTCAAATTTAATTCAAATTTTTTTTTTCTATTTTGAACGAGCATGAATACGCCTACGCCAAAAAACGAGCCCAAACACGGAATTGGTCAAATCAATTAACAACTCTATAGACAAAAGCAAACATTTTTAATTTTGTTTACTCAAAAAGTGTTTGCACATTATTTGTTTTGTGGTCCCATTTTATCGAGGGGGTGTTGAGTGAGATGATTTGTCTAAATTATATTATTATTGTCCAAAACTCAGAAAATCCACAAGTTATAAATATGACCAACCCACACAAGGTCACATGATCAGTGATACCGATGCTTACATTTATATATATATAAAACCGAATCTGGCAAAACCATGTGAGCCAGCATTGCAGACCTGCCTGCCTGCCTAAGTTTCCAAAGTCTTTACTATCATCATATTAAGCTGAACAGCCAATTGACAGCCCATTTCCTCCTTTTAAACATTGTTGCTTTCCCCCATTTGTAAGATACGATTCAATTGATATTACTAAATAGATGATTAGAAGTAAAAAATCTGATAATTTTAAACTAATTGTGAATTGGGTTGACTAATTGGGTTATTTACGGATTCTAAAACTAAATTGGGGTGCAATTCATTTAATACATAATTAAAGGGGCATTTTGTCGATTTTGAACTGATTCAAAAGCATAAAAACAAACAATAAAAGTTATTTATGAGTTTTAAAATAAAGCTCGTTAATTTCGAATTGATTTTAAATTATTGAAATAAGTAAATTGAATTAATTTGTTGGTCTAATGACCCAGAAAATTTTACTGTGAATGTAATTAAATAGACAGCGAATGTGAAGATTCGGATCAGAAAGTCGCATCTTTTTCCATTGTGGATCCCATGCACCACTCCTCACGTGGCACCTCACACCAGTCCAAAATCTTCACTCTGCAATCTCCTCTGACCTATAAATAACCACCAATCCAACGGTCTCTCTCTCACTACTCGTTCTTTCTCTCNCGTGACCTTATTTGATCGATTTTGCGGCTTTATCTACCCTTACACAAATATTTATTCATAATCGAGGAAGGAATGTCACACTAGGAAGCCCCGTTAAAGAAGGAAGAACCTTCTAATGCAGACAATTTCACTAAAGCAGATAATTGGTTCTAAAATGTACTTTAAGACCAACTGCCTCATTCACAGAAGAGAAAAACGGAGAATAAGAATCCCCATCCTTGCTTGCGAGGGTGGGGATTAGGAGTCCTCGTGTCATTATCCACGTAGGGATTGCAAGTTTTGCCACATTTTCTGCATATGTCTTTCTTTGCGGTTCATGCCTATGCAGAAGCTATCCTCCTGATGAAAATTGGCATGTGTCTGTTGAAAATGAAAGATGGGGAGATGTCTGCCCCTTCCTCCCTTCCCCCACATGAAATTGCACATGGCACCTTGACGCAATAGTAGGTTTAATTTATCGTGATGTGGACATCACATGTTAAAGTGATGCAAATAGTCTTGCAAGCGGAGTAAAATTGAGTACATTCATACCTCCTTAGATTTCTAGAGTATGAGTCTCGTGTGTTGGATTGTAGTTAAATTGTTTGAAATTGTAAGTATTCTATTTTGTTTTCACATGGTCTTTGATGGCCATTGAGAGTTTCACAACGAGACAAGGAAGAAGTTTCTAAGAAATTACTTGTATAGGGCAAATGACACTTCACATTCTAGAAAATCTTCAATTTCTCAATTCACAAGTTAAAAGATTAAAATTTTCAACCAGATATGTTTTAATACAATTGAGTATAGAAATTCTCATGTAAAATACTTGAAATTGAGTAATATATAAATAATTATGTACAAAATAGAATAATATAACAATATAACAAAAAATTAATGAATAATGGCGTTTGATTTTGAATCACTTTGTTACTTGTTCATATGATTGAGAATGCAATAAAAGAATTCTAATCTTTCGATATATAATTACGAATTTATATTTCTTTTAGAGTGCAATGTGATACTCACCCTAGGTGTAAAGGCAAAAAATTGTTTTTTGAACCAGGTCATNGGCGGCAAACGGTAGATTAAGGTGGTAATGGTCATTAATTGAAAATGAATGTTAGGTAATTACAGTCGACAGAGACAATGGGTTATGATTCTGTCAAAGTGCAGGCCCCATCAAATAAAGGGTCATTACCCAGATCTCGTTTAAAACAACGATCATAGGTTATGATTCTGTCAAAGTGCAGACCCCATCAAATAAAGAGTCATTATCCAGATCTCGTTTAAAACAACGATCGTGTTTAGAGGGATGAACTGCATACACAAAATTTTAACTAAATCAAATTTATCGAGGTTGAGTATGCTCAAACTCGATTTGGTGAACAAGTGTAGTGTAGCTGAGCTCCAGCTTGAGTTGAGCTTAGCTATGGAGCTAAAATTTTAGCTCAAGTTTGGAAGAAGATTGGGATTATGAGAACTAAAATTAAAGAGTTTTCGATTCTTATATCTTCTACGGGACAACCACTCTTATTTTTCAAGGAATATGTTCTAAACCCACTTGAGTTATGGTGGTTAGTATCTGAGTTCGAAAGAGTAGTTAATGCAAATCTAAATACGATGTAACAAAAAAACAAAAAAAAAAGACTAAATTTATTGCTAAGAATTCTTTAAAAATTAAAGTCTAAAACTTCAATAATCAAACTTAATGTAATTAGGGGTGTTAATCGAGCTAAATTTACACATAAACGAGCTGATTCATTTGACTATTTACACATAAACGAGCTTTAAAAAATGTTCAAACTTGACTTGTTTAACAGTCCTAAATGTAATCAATTTCTTAGTAAAAATCTATCAAACGTTGAATAATCAATCATAAAATAACACTCTTAAGTATATTAGGAGAAAAAATAAAGGAAGAGAGAAGTATATATGATTTATTTACTTATTTAGGGATAAATTTGAAATTATTTATTTTTGAATATAAATTATTTGACCATAAAATTAGAATTATGTATACAAAACCTATTCGATTTCAACAATACATTGTTTGGATTATACTCATTTATAAAACCAACTTAAAAATTTGGTCAAATTTAATTCAAATTTTTTTTTTCTATTTTGAACGAGCATGAATACGCCTACGCCAAAAAACGAGCCCAAACACGGAATTGGTCAAATCAATTAACAACTCTATAGACAAAAGCAAACATTTTTAATTTTGTTTACTCAAAAAGTGTTTGCACATTATTTGTTTTGTGGTCCCATTTTATCGAGGGGGTGTTGAGTGAGATGATTTGTCTAAATTATAATATTATTGTCCAAAACTCAGAAAATCCACAAGTTATAAATATGACCAACCCACACAAGGTCACATGATCAGTGATACCGATGCTTACATTTATATATATATAAAACCGAATCTGGCAAAACCATGTGAGCCAGCATTGCAGACCTGCCTGCCTGCCTAAGTTTCCAAAGTCTTTACTATCATCATATTAAGCTGAACAGCCAATTGACAGCCCATTTCCTCCTTTTAAACATTGTTGCTTTCCCCCATTTGTAAGATACGATTCAATTGATATTACTAAATAGATGATTAGAAGTAAAAAATCTGATAATTTTAAACTAATTGTGAATTGGGTTGACTAATTGGGTTATTTACGGATTCTAAAACTAAATTGGGGTGCAATTCATTTAATACATAATTAAAGGGGCATTTTGTCGATTTTGAACTGATTCAAAAGCATAAAAACAAACAATAAAAGTTATTTATGAGTTTTAAAATAAAGCTCGTTAATTTCGAATTGATTTTAAATTATTGAAATAAGTAAATTGAATTAATTTGTTGGTCTAATGACCCAGAAAATTTTACTGTGAATGTAATTAAATAGACAGCGAATGTGAAGATTCGGATCAGAAAGTCGCATCTTTTTCCATTGTGGATCCCATGCACCACTCCTCACGTGGCACCTCACACCAGTCCAAAATCTTCACTCTGCAATCTCCTCTGACCTATAAATAACCACCAATCCAACGGTCTCTCTCTCACTACTCGTTCTTTCTCTCTCTAAAAATAACCACAGAAGCAGGGACCCCGCAGCCCCCCCTCCCCCCCGTCTTTCGAAATATAAAATTACGCGGTCTCTCACATTTCGCCCTTTTTTCTCTCTTCTCTTTCTCTCTCTGTGTTTGTTTCTCTCTCTAATTCAATTTGTTTCCGTCCATGGCGATCTGAGAGAGAGAGAGAGAGGCAATTACCTGTGTATCTATAGCTGTAATCTAGGGCATTGTTGTTCTTAGTTCTTTTGGTCTACTAGCACACAGACAGAAATAATATATCTATATCTATCATTCTGTATAGAAAATGTCTCCATCTGATTCTTTGGATGCGTTTCTATTCTCCGCAAGCAGAGCCTGTTGCAGTCCGCTTGCTATTTTTATACAGATTCAGGTTAGTTCTTTTGGTTTTTCTCTTTGTTTGATTAAAAAAGATAGAAATAGAGTGGGCATCGAGTGTTTTTCGATTTTGTACTGTTTGGATCTGAGAATTAGGAATATTAATAAGCAAAAAATTATATACTACGTCTGATGTTGATGTAATTCTTTGCAAAGTTATTTTTTTGTGCTCAATTGAGCGGGGGTTTGTCCTCGAGTCCAAACTTTTCCAAAGTTTATAAAGCACATTGTTATGCATTTTTTTTTTTTTTAAATTCTCTGTACTTTTCGGTGACCAAAGATAGTTTTAGGTTGAAATTGTGTTTTTTCTGGATAAACAGTTTTAATATTTCTTTGTTGCCTATTTTTCTTATTGAATTTTGATTATTATGGATGATTAAGCTTTTTATATTCCATGACAATTGGATTTGTTTAGCTCGATATCGAGACAACACTACCTTGTACATGAACGCAATACTGTAAAGCATATCAAAATCTTGGTTTTTGTACGTGGTTAGGAATAATGCACGTTAGATGCTCAAATTTTTGCCCCAACAGCCAAATGTCTGTGTTGAATGCTAGTTGCGGTAAAAAAATGGTGTGTTCATTTGGTCTTCATTGATTGGTAGCATGGGGGTACAAAACCCTTGAATTTTATTACGAAGAATGTTTTATGTAATTCATTTTACTGTTCATAGCATGCTTTTGCCATTAATAAATCATTGAAGCCATGTAGAAGGCAATTCATGTGCTACCTCTTGCAGCTTGTTTTATTCATACTTGGTGAAATTACAATTAGCCAGGGTGAACAGATACACTGAAAATTCTTCCTTGGGCATAAAAGAGGAACATCATTGCCTTCTTTATTGGATGTAGAGAGGGTATAAATTTCTCACTTTATACGGAAGTTCTAATAAGTGAAAGTAGTGGTGGTGAGCGTGAGTACCTCAATGGTCTAAGAAGTTTGGAGTTTACAAGCTATTTGCTTGAAGTTAAATAGTTCAATATGGTATATATTAGTCACTTTGAAGGAGGGGATCCCTCATGCTCTTGCTGTGAGTGTGGTTTGTGTAGTTTCATTTGAGCTATTGGCTGCTTTGGAAGTAACACATGTTTGCCACAATTTACATTACATGCACAGATGCTAATTTGCTGACTGACTAGCATAGGGAGTCAGCTTTCTTTTTTTTTCATTTTCCACTTCTTTTTGAACTTTTGTTTAGCATTTTGTTTCTTCAATTTTAGAACTTTATTCCCCTTGTTAAATGAAGTTCAACAGGTGATTGTTTATTGGAATTTCTATTTCCACTAGGATAATAGTATGATACTCATTGTGAGTGAAGTCAGCATCCTCATTTTTTTCTTTAAAGCAATATTTGTAAAGCAAAGTCACTCCTGAAATGAAGTGGAAGCAAGAAGATCTATATATGTACCAGATGGAATAACGATATGAGAAGATAATTGACTTGATAAAAATGATTGAATACCATCAACCTCAATGTTTTCTGCCACTTCCATCAAGTGGCAATTACTTTCTAGTTTCTACCATTGTCTTATGAGACCCGCCATATTAGTAGGCTCTAAATATGAATAATTGCTTGCTGCTTGTTTTTACTATTAAGGTCTTTGCTACAGAAGGTTGTACAATTGTCTTAACTAAAAGCATTAACTACTATCTAATCATAAATGAAGACGACAAAAGACAGTTGGCCTCTTATTTGTTTTGGATCCTGAAATTTGCAACCAAATTTTATTCAACATATGACTTTCTAGAAGAATGACTTTGAGGGAAGAGATAAATTTGGTATAAATTAACTGGGCAAGACAAGTGAGGTTCATTTTAGTTGTAGCTGCTGTTTGATGCTCCTGCGGACGCCCTACCTTGTAATATGTCACCCATGCTAAGAAGGGTGGGCTTCAGTGACTGTGGAAGGTTGCTGACTTTAGTGCCTGCAGCAGCTAGCGTGGATACATGTTTGAAAGATGCGCTGTTTTTTAAGTAAATGTTAACTATGGACTGTATACGGTGCATTCAACATGGCTAAAGGCAGTAACAAAGCACTTAGATCCACAAAACGCAAAAATTGTGTAAGCCACATTGCATCATGTAATGTAGACGTTTATTGTATTATTTTCTTATACTCTGTACGCATCAAAGCCTCAACCAAAAAGGGAGATAAAAGAAAAGATATCTTGTTAAGAGCTTTTCCATCTGTATTAAATAAAGGAAAAAAAGAAAGAAGAAAAAGAGCTTTTCACATAACGGATGTTTGTGACATACTTGAACTTGTTTGATGAGATTTTGGGTAAACTTTATGTTCTGTTTTCTCAAGTCTTTCTTTGTGATACCCTTTTTTTATCTGTGATTTTATGTTTTTTGCCCTTGCTATGTGGCACTCTGGTGTGATCTTGTGATATGATCGTGTATCTAAGTCCTATATTTGTTGTGCAGGGATGGGTAATTTGCTTAACACTTGCTCTTGGATGGGCTTGTGCTGCTTACGTCAGGTGCCACACTTTGTTGATTATAAATAATTATGTTACACCCTTTCGAACAACTTAAGCTTTTAGATGTGTTGGAATTTAGTCCATGGCTTATTTTCTGACTTTGATAGTATACCATGAGAAACTGATTTTAGTAACATTCTCTTTCTTTTTTACAGAAGTAGAGAGATAAGACAGATGAAGGATAGTGTTAAACGTGGAAATAGCTTTGCATTTCTTTCTCATGACATCAATGACCTTGAGCATTCTAATCAGGTCAACTTGCCAAGAGTGACAGTTGTAATGCCTCTAAAAGGGTTTGGAGAACACAATCTACATAACTGGAGAAGTCAGGTGAATTATTTGAAACACGTTCTAGCTAGCAGTTCTCCTGAATGTTGAATGTAATAAAGATCAGTTCATCTTGGTTTGTATCGTGGTATTCATGTTTCTTGCCACTTTAGACCTGGCTAGAATCCATTCCTTATTTTTCAAAAATTTTGTTAGTTTAAGTTTACAATTTGCAGTATCTTTTAAAATGTTTTAGTGCACATATTATTACAGTCTTCTCTTTTTCATGATGGTCCGGTTTATGAATGATGGGATGCAGATTACATCTCTATACGGTGGTCCCCTGGAATTTTTTTTTGTGTTGGAAAGTACAGAAGACCCAGCGTACCATGCTGTATCTCGTCTCTTAGCCGATTTTAAGGTATATATTGTTCCCATATTCCCATTATCCACTTTGTATTGTAACTATTTGATTGCCATTATCTTTCTTTTTCTAGTTTGTCTTTGAACAATTTCTTCTAATAGTCATGCGACCTGTGATTAACAGAGATATGATGAGAAGTTGTTCCTTGTAATATTTTGATTAATACCTTATATTGCACTTTCGCTGTGGAGTATTATGAATATTTCAAGGTCAGAAGTCTTACTTTCAGGACATCCTTCCTGCAACTGTACGTGTGGTGAGATTGGAGTGGGCAAGAACTTTCTTTTTTGTTTCTTTAAAAAAAAAAATTTGGAAACAACTGGAAAAGTCAACATCTTGTTGCTCTCCGTCTTCTTCCCCTTATTTNTGCAACTGTACGTGTGGTGAGATTGGAGTGGGCAAGAACTTTCTTTTTTGTTTCTTAAAAAAAAAAAATTTGGAAACAACTGGAAAAGTCAACATCTTGTTGCTCTCCGTCTTCTTCCCCTTATATATTTTACTTCCCTTTATTCACCTTTTAAACTAGATAAATAGTTTTACTGAGAGGAAAATGTGTTGTAACATGGTGGTATCTGGTCATGTAAGATTTGATGCCTTGGTTTTTCTATCAACACTGTTTCAAACATGTTGTGTGTCTACATGTGCTGGCTTGCTTTCTTGAGACTGGACCCACTGTTTTCTTTGGTGTTTTTTGCCGAATAACCTACCATCTGCTAGTAGTTGATTACTTTTATTGGTACTCTATTTCTTTGAGGGTGAGGGTCTTGTTTAATATTTTTTAACCTGTTTTCTTATCTTGACTTGTCTGTATGGTTTTGCAGGATGATGTTGATGCAAAGGTTGTTATAGCGGGTTTGTCAACTACTTGTAGCCAGAAAATTCACAATCAGTTGGTACATATATAGTTCAAAACTTTGTATTCTATGCCTTAATAAAGCATAAGCTTACCATTACATTTGCTTTGTGGTTTACATTGTATACTTCTACATCTTTTTATAATTTGAGGTGTGGCTCGTTATCGTGTTCCTGTATCTGGATAATTTTTTTTTTTTTTTTGTATTGTATTTTGAATAGAACATTATTATTTTGCTGGACTAAGTGTTGGATAAAACTGAATCTTGCATAATTTTCTCATGACAATTCAATATTGGGAGGTTATCTAAATAATTATTTTTCTCCGAGAAGTATACTAATTAGCGCTTTAAATGTATGTTGTGGTGCCTTGTGCAGGTCGGTGTGGAGAAAATGCATAAAGACAGCAAGTATGTTTTATTTCTAGATGATGATGTTAGGCTGCACCCTGGTTCAATTGGAGCCCTCACTGTTGAGATGGAAAAGAATCCGGAGGTATGGTATTGCCGAGTCACGTGCTTTCCATTAACCCAACTTATGTAGTTTTTAATACCTCTTTAGGTTGAATTGTTATGGTCAGTATGATTTAGATCCTAAGGCTGCATATATCTGATTGTCCCTAAAATCCGCAATGACAGAAGCCTCTTGCATTGGGCTACCCTTTTCTATTAAGTAAATTTTGTTAACAGTTGTCTCAGTTTTTGTTGGTGATGAAGTGCAGATTTTTATTCAAACTGGATACCCTCTTGATTTGCCATCTGGAAGTCTGGGAAGTTACTGCATCTATGAATATCACATGGTATGGCATCAAGCTATGCTGTCATTTTCTTTTATGACGATCTACACACAAATCTGCGTACTGTTATAATTGCTCATTTCCCATGCCAGTTTGTTTATCCTTAAGTGCCCGTGGACTTAGTTTTATTTATGCAATATCAATGATTGGGGGGAGACATTTTCTGGAGAAAAAAAAAAAGGAAGATGTCAAGGACTCTCTCTTAAGTTCCATGCAATGGAAGAACAAACAAATTTGCTATGCCTATATATGTTGAAGCATTGAAAGCTGAGCATATGTATTTGTGAATCTAACCCGTAGGTTACAAATGCACAATGCAATGCAGGTCAAAATTAAAATTTACTTGCAATGATAAATGGGCTAATATATGGTGTGATTGAGTTCCATGTCTTTCTTTTTTTACAAGTAGTGTTGAACCAGAGGGGTTAAGCTTTGTGTTCTTGTTCTTGTTCCTTAAGATTTCGGGAACTTGTATGGCTTTGCATTGTTGGACTGATCTTGTTTGACATATTTTTCACGCCTTATCACCATTGTCATTATTTAGTACCATTTTATGCTTTACTCAGTTTTACATATTCATAATACTTTTCAAATAATGAGTTAAGTGATCATCCTTTGTTTACAGCCTTGTTCGATGGGGTTCGCTACTGGTGGAAAAACGTTCTTTCTGTGGGGAGGGTGCATGATGGCAAGTAGTTTTGGGCATTTTTAATTTGCCTCATGCATGCACTTAAAATGTTATCATTATTCTTATTGTTCATGTTTTTATTTGCCATTTCCTCATTTTTTCAGATGCATGCGGATGATTTTAGAAATAACCGTCATGGTGTGGTTTCAGAGCTTCGAGATGGGGGCTACTCCGATGATATGACTCTTGCAGCTATAGCTGGTAATGGAGTGCTTTACCTTTATAATCTGATTTGAGTTTACTTTCGCGCTGTGAAACTACATTGTTCTTGATCTTTAAAAACTTTCCATTTGTATTTGTGTTGAGACTTTGTGTCTGATAGTTGCACTTGTGGATCGAAATAACAAACAAATTGAACTTGTTAATTTCAAAAGGTGAGTGAGAAAATTTATGTGTGCGAGAATGCTCTTTGAGTCTCTTTTACTTCTTCATTTACAACCGTGGTTAAATACCATAAAGAAGGGTGGGGAGATAGTCAAACATAAAGACACACACACTGTTATGAATCCATGAGTAGAACTTGCCTTTGAAAATCGGTTTGCAAGGGAAGAGTACTCAAGAGTTCATATACACACATTTAATCTTATTTTTAACTGATGTGAGATCGTAACATTTCATCACATTTCCATAGCCGACGTCCATGGCAGCTCACTCTGTCCACACTGACCTAATGGTAGCCNATACCATAAAGAAGGGTGGGGAGATAGTCAAACATAAAGACACACACACTATTATGAATCCATGAGTAGAACTTGCCTTTGAAAATCGGTTTGCAAGGGAAGAGTACTCAAGAGTTCATATACACACATTTAATCTTATTTTTAACTGATGTGAGATCGTAACATTTCATCACATTTCCATAGCCGACGTCCATGGCGGCTCACTCTATCCACACTGACCTAATGGTAGTCCTTTCCGTGTGACGACTTCAGTCACCTATTAATATTCAATGAGATAGAACTACGCCCATACATAATACCAATTCATCTTAATCCAGCTTATAGGTCGCTTCTTCTGTGATTCGACCACAGACAGTTGTAGCTAGTGTTAGCAGAACTAGACTGGACCGGTCGATTGGACCAGTTAGGCCGTGAACTGAGCCTTACACCGGTCCAATTTGATTAACAGACCGCTTGAGTATTTTAACCCGGCGGTTCAAATAACTCTTCGTNTAATATTCAATGAGATAGAACTACGCCCATACATAATACCAATTCATCTTAATCCAACTTATAGGTCGCTTCTTCTGTGATTCGACCACAGACAGTTGTAGCCAGTGTTATCAGAACTAGACTGGACCGGTCGATTGGACCAGTCAGGCCGTGAACCGAGCCTTACACCGGTCCAATTTGATTAACAGACCGCTTGAGTATTTTAACCCGGGCGGTTCAAATAACTCTTCATACTTAATAATAATAATAAATTGGGGCAAATTTAGCCCTAGGCAGCTTCGTCTTCTCTTCTCTGGTCCAGAAGACGCATAGGTACAGGCATAGNGGCGGTTCAAATAACTCTTCGTACTTAATAATAATAATAAATTGGGGCAAATTTAGCCCTAGGCAGCTTCGTCTTCTCTTCTCTGGTCCAGAAGACGCATAGGTACAGGCATAGACCAGTAGCTCAGCTCAAACTCTCCTTTCTCTAGAACTCGAGTCTCAAACTCTCCTTCTCTGCTGCTCAGCTTCGTCTTCTCTTCTTCGTCGTTGCTTTATTTCACTCTCTCAATCTCTCTCTGCCTCATTCTCTCACACACACATAAAGCACANTTCTTCGTCGTTGCTTTATTTCACTCTCTCAATCTCTCTCTGCCTCATTCTCTCACACACAAAGCATATACTCGATGGAAGACAGAAAAGAAAAAGGGTTGTAACTTATATGGAAGACAAACAAGAAGTTTGATCCAATGAGTAGTGATGGGTATTGGTCCTATTGGAGGTAGTGGGTAGGTATTGGTCCTATTGGAGGCAGTGATCATCCTTGTTGGGAGGCGTGGAATGAAATTCCCAAATTAATTAAAAATTTTAGTTGTTATGTGACTGTATTTTTATTGTAATGTAAGGATTTTATGCTTTGCCAATTTTTTTATTCTAGAAAAATGTATTCTTTATATTTTTTTAATTAAATTATTAGGTTTTATAATTTTGTTTTTGTTTATTATACAACTGGTCTAACCAGTTAACCCACTGGTTGAACTAGTGAACCATTGAGTTGGTCCCTCTACCGGTTAAATGACCGGTCCACTTCAGATAACTATGGTTGCAGCCCATACTGCATTTAGTTCCGTACTCGATGCGGTAACTCGCTCTGATACCAATTAGAGCCTTAAAGTTCATATACACACATCTAATCTTATTTTTACCTAACGTGGGATCTTAACACACACATGACATCAAGNTTCCGTACTCGATGCGGTAACTCGCTCTGATACCAATTAGAGCCTTAAAGTTCATACACACACATCTAATCTTATTTTTACCTAACGTGGGATCTTAACACACACATGACATCAGGGGGCATAGAAATCCGGGCAACAAAAGCTCAAATTTTTTTATTTTGGTTTTTGGTGTGGAGCCCTCACCTAATACTATAGTTTTTGGTGTAGTGATTTATCCAGATATTTAATAATCATCAAACTTACTTTAAAATCAAGACAAATGATAAACTTGCATTCTTGGTCCTCCCCTAAAGGATTTCTCCAACAACACTACAGTGGGGGGCTTTTAGCACCTGTCAGCTCATTGTAGAAGGTGGCTTTTGCGATGGCACACTGAATATTTTTGTGGAAAACTAAACATTCACGGTTTTGACTTAACCCATCCTATTTTTGAGTTCCGTCTTACGCTGTCCATCTACGGGTACTTACAGAGGTACTGTTTACAGTGCCATGCTTCATGTCTTATCACTCCCAACTCATTTCTAACAGTTGGGTGGTTCAATCCCATTCAACAATGCACTACATATATAACAGTAGTTTAGTACGTTTTATTCTATCTCTAGGGGGACTCCAACAGTGTTTCGCCTAGTCCTCCAAGGACACACATATAGTTGTGTAGGCATGTTGTTTCCCACCAGAACAACATGCAGCATCACATCTAGTGTGTACCTAGAGAAAAAAGGATCTGCCACATATTTTCCCTAAAACAAAGATAGAGGTACTAACTGCATTACAGATTTGTGCATCACCAAACCATTCCAATGTATCCATCCCTTCCAGCAAGCTTGTTATGACCAAAACACTGTGCTCGTCCCGTTTCATTGCATTGCATTACCATATGGACTAATTTCCAGCTTAGAAACCTATTTAATTCTATACCAAGCAACAGATCTCTTTCGAGCTGTTTTGCACCTTTGAACCTTAAAATTACCTATTAACAGAAGCCTGAGACTAAGCTTTCAAAATAATTTCGCTATGAACATTTTGCAAGTCTATAATTTATGTCTAGGGTGGCCTCCAACTCACCTAAAACAAGGGAATTAAATTTAGAAACCATAATTACAGTTTACAATGTTACCATATTAATAATGAATGCTGCATGGACTCACATTTTAAACTCAAGAGTTGTGGTATTTATACGGTGGGAGCCACTTAGAATGAAATTATATGGACAACTCAGTGAACCCAGCTGCGAGTTTAAATTCTGTGTCCATTTTGTAAGTTCTAATAGTAATTTTCTTGTTATGTTACCTGCTCACCAATATTGGACAGAAGTTTAGGCTAACTACTCTGAATAATTAGATCCCACTAATCTTAATTCCTCCTAAGACCTTTTCATGTTTTTATTTTGATTTGATTCTCAGTCATAGAGATCCTGAAGTGGAAGATCTTAGAATTTGTGAATAGTTTGAATTGGTGTTTTTCCCTTTCATAACTTTCACGAAGTGTGTTATATGTAGCGGCTGGTTTAGAGGTGTCTCTTGAAATTGAGTTTCTCAATTATTGGGTGGCTGAAACAAATTGCCGTCCTTATTTGGTTCCTTACTCTCACATTGATATAGTGTGCTTTTTCGAAATTTGTTGTCATCTTTCGAGGTTTGACATTGTGTGGGTGCTAAATTGTTATTTTTAGTTGCTGAAAGCATTTTCCCCTTTTCAGGGGCTCATAAAAGGCTCATTACGTCACCACCGGTTGCCGTTTTCCCCCACCCTCTTGCAAGTGATCTTAGTTTTTCAAGGTTTGTAAAGTACAGCTGAAACTTTTTGCCAATAGTCATTAAAAATACCTTTTGAATTATTGCGTGATGACTTTTTCCCCCCTGGTGTGTAGATACTGGAATTACTTGAGAAAACAAACATTTGTTTTGGAGTCATACACCACAAAGGTTAACTGGATAATGAATCGTGCATTATTTTCTTCCCATTGCTATCTGTCATGGGGATTCGTAGCACCATACTTCATGGCTGTGATTCATGTTGTGGCAGCACTCAGATTCTATTCTTCCGAATACACACTTGAGGAAACAGGGTTTACTTTTGGTGGTGAGCACTCAACTTTTCTCTTTTACTTGGGTTGTTTGTATTGCAGAAGAAATAAATGAGTGGGATGCTGTTGCAGGATATGGAGCTTATATTAGACTACTGATCAAAAACATTATTATGTTGTTAGGGTATGTTGTAGCTAAAAGATACCTTTTGATCAGTAAGTATATAGGCTTATTAATAAGCTAACCTAACCTAACTTGATGAAATGGTACAATCGTTAAGGATCCAATAACAATACCATGTTATTCATTTATATTTCATGTATGTGGAACATGGTTCCTNCTAAAAGATACCTTTTGATCAGTAAGTATATAGGCTTATTAATAAGCTAACCTAACTTGATGAAATGATACAATCGTTAAGGATCCAATAACAATACCATGTTATTCATTTATATTTCATGTATGTGGAACATGGTTCCTGACGAATTAAAGCAGCTGAATGAATATTGGCTGGCAACCAACTCATGCAATTCTGCACTAGTCTCTCAATATCATATGTTGAGTATCTTTCCTGATTGTCGTGTGAAGTACGGTGAAGGGGTTATTACTGTTGTTTCACTGCCAATATATTAGTTAAAAGTTGAAACATGTCCACTTGGATGTTTTTTCAGGGTTCTTTTAACTTTAATGTTTGGGATTGGAATTCCTTTTCCAAGTTTTGATATTTGTATATACATTGAACAAAAAGCTCAAATCAGAGAAGGCTGTCACTAGTGTTCTGAATTCTGTTTAATCTTTGTTAGTTTTTCTGGTTGATAGGAATTGACCTTGTGCAATGATTGTTTCTTGTCAATTCTACATTTTTTTGCCAGGGTTATTATTAGCAGGTTGCCTAGCCATATGCACAGTTGTTGAACTCCTTTCTATGTGGAATTTGACAAGAATAGAGGTTCAGCTATGCAATATGTTGTCCCCTGAGGCGCCTCCACTGTCACTTCGTTCTTATAACTGGTGCCTTGTAAGTCCCTCTTCACTTTCCTCTTGAAGCTTTTCATTCATTTTTTTCCCATTAAGCATCATTTTCTAAGATTGTGTTAAACTTGATCTAGAATTCATGGTCAAAAGTGAGAATTTCATTTTCTGATATGGTTAACAATACTAATAAACAAGACTAAGTTGGAATCCAATCATGGAACTTTTAGCAAGAGTAAGCTCCATCTAGTCCCCATTAACCGACAGTGGGGGCAGATGCAGATTGGGTACAAACCTATGAAGCACATATATTTCATCCAGGTCAACGCACTCGTATTGGATACCGTATTAGATATGCATCATACGTATTCGATATTTTATTATAAAGTCAATGATACCCATATATTAGTTTCCTTTAATATGTCTATTGGACTTCTAAGTTATTTTGAACTCTTTTATTAACAGACTTTTAAATTCTATATTACTTTTATTCAATTTTTATTTCCTACTCAATTTTCATTATAAAGTCAATGATACCCATATATTAGTTTCCTCAAATTTTTATTTCCTATGGATATTTGACTTCCAAGTTCTTTTGAACCTTTTATTAAAGTATTTGACTTCTAAATTCTATATTATTTTCATTCAATTTTTATTCCTTATACCTTTTTGACTTCTATGTTCTTTTAGACTTTTTTGTTAATCGTATATGATTTTTTAATTTTTTCGGACTCATTTATTAGTAGTTTACTTACACAGTTTTTTATATCTATATCTATATTTATATGAAGAAATAAAGTTCAATTTGTATTTTATAACTCTATAGTTTAATATATATGTTATAGTTATTTTTTTGGTATACAGCAATATCATATTATTACAATAGTATTGCAATTTAAGCAATTTCTTTGTCAAAAAATATAATAAATTTATAATTTAATTAGATGTAAAAATACTCAATAATGACAATCTTATAATAAAGATTCATTATAAATAAAAGAAGTAATATCTAAGGGGTTTGGAGAGATAACTAAACAAATTATATTTTACATACTCGAAGAGGGGTAGAATAGATTAATAATTAAAATAAAAATTAATTAAAATTATATAATTTATAATTAAATTTAATTACACATAATTTAAATTTTTTATGAAAATTTTTTTATTTAAATATATTCATGTGCAACGCACGTCAGGCGTTATCAGTAANCACGTCGGGCGTTATCAGTTAATAAAATATGTAGATATTTTGCGGATACTTTTAAACATGGAGCAAGATATATAATTTTTAATTTTAATTTATATTTTCTCTTTTTGAGTTCACATACAGTACAAAATTTAATCTAATTTTGAAGACACGGGTGTTTTTTAAGTATTATTTACTATTACATATCAAAAGAGTATAAAAAAATTAATTAGTTACATTATAATCTGAAAAATAAATACTACAACTAGTTAGATGTGGTTCTAATTCCTTTAATTAGTCACGTTCATTTTATGGATATATCATAATGCGACGATACTACATTTTTTTTTTGAGGTAAAAATTTATAATTTTACTTACCATACTATTAATGAATTATTGAAAATTATAATTTTTAAGTTGTTAAATAACAGTAAAATATAAGATATATTTTATTATAGACATATCTTAACCCTACCAGTNAATAAAGATTCATTATAAATAAAAGAAGTAATATCTAAGGGGTTTGGAGAGATAACTAAACAAATTATATTTTAGATACTCGAAGAGGGGTAAAATAGATTAATAATAAAAATAAAAATTAATTAAAATTATATAATTTATAATTAAATTTAATTACACATAATTTAAATTTTTTATGAAAAATTTATTATTTAAATATATTCATGTGCAACGCACGTCGGGCGTTATCAGTTAATAAAATATGTAGATATTTTGCGGATACTTTTAAACATGGAGCAAGATATATAATTTTTAATTTTAATTTATATTTTCTCTTTTTGAGTTCACATACAGTACAATATTTAATCTAATTTTGAAGACACGGGTGTTTTTTAAGTATTATTTACTATTACATATCAAAAGAGTATAAAAAAATTAATTAGTTACATTATAATCTGAAAAATAAATACTACAACTAGTTAGATGTGGTTCTAATTCCTTTAATTAGTCACGTTCATTTTATGGATATATCATAATGCGACGATACTACATTTTTTTTTTGAGGCAAAAATTTATAATTTTACTTACCATACTATTAATGAATTATTGAAAATTATAATTTTTAAGTTGTTAAATAACAGTAAAATATAAAATATATTTTATTATAGACATATCTTAACTCTACCAATATTTTGTTTTTTTAAATTTTGTTATATCTTCGTATCTGTATCATATCACCCCTATCGTATCACCCGTATCACGCATCCGTATCCGTATTCCCTAGGTACAAACCTTACATAGTGAATTATTTGAGCCACACTAAATTGTAATATTTCCTGTAGGAATATTATACAATGGGCTGCTAGAAATGACGTCCTATGATAAACATGAATAGAAATGACGTCCTATTACTTATCTGATTGGACTGACGTTTAATTGAGCAGGTATTTATTGCAATGCTAGTGGATAACTTTTTATACACCATCTCTGCCGTGCGTTCACATTTTTCTCAATCTATCAATTGGTCTGGCATTCGATACCACTTGAAAGACGGAAAGATAAACAAGGTGTGCTTTTCTGAGGCCTTTGTTATCATATTACACTTCACTCCAGGTTTCAGTATTATTTCATAGCTGTTTAAGTGGATTTTTTTTTTTTTCGAAAAAGGATTCTTGTGAGGAAATGTTTTCTTTGAATTATATGACAAGTTTGCCCAGATTTGTAATAGAAATTGATCACTATTAATGAAGCTTTAGTTATCATCTTTGAACAGAGTATTTCTGACAATAATCTGTTGACAGTCTTCCCATCTCTCCTAAACTTCCCCCAGCCTTCGACACTAACTGTACGAGGCAGAAGCTCGACTCATACAAACCCTTCATCCTTTTTATTGTTTGCTTTTGTGGTTTTGAGGTTGCCCATTCATGTGCAATTTTATTATTCATTAGGACAAGGTTTGTAACCTCTTCTTCTCCAACCCCACCCCCCTTCCCCATTGCATCCACCTCACCCTAGTCAATCCCACATACATAAAAAAAAGAGCCTCTACTTGTTAACAATTCTTCTTCAAACCTCCCCCAAATTTCTCAAAATGCATAAAAAATAGATGAATGAACTCAGTGTGCTTGTATTCAGCGGCCCCTTTCTCCCCCCAAGACCAAAAAAAAAAAAAAACACGCACACCACCACCACAAAAAAAAAGCTTTTATTGTGCTTCACTACTGGTTCAATAGCATGTGTTTATGTCTTGCTCAGATTGAAAGAAGCAAGGATAAGGGTCCAAAATATACTGATTTGGGAGGGAAGCATTTATACGGGAAGAAAGGAGCTCCACCCAAGGTTTCAATGCTTGGTTCCTTGTCCAAAAGTTTAGCTCAGTGGCGCCAGCCCAAGAAATACGATGTCTAGGTATGGAATTTTGTAGCATAAGCTTGCAATTATTTGGCCCCCCGGATCCAAATGGTGATCAATGGCTCTGGGAGTGAAAGTGTTTGGAGATTTTTTGGCTCCTCAAGATAATTGAAGGGTCCATCATTAATAGATTCTAGTGGTATGAATTCTGATTCATTTTCAATTAATTTAATCCATTTATTCTTCAGCTTCAAGTCTCCCTGTCTGGGTTGATTTTGTATGTGTAATGATCTTGTTCTGTAATTTTGTGAAATATTTATCATTCAAAATTTCAGTGTAAGACAGAAAGGTTGTGAAAATTGTATTCTCTTTTCTTATTGAGGTTTTACCGACCTATAGCTTTCCTTTTTATGCTTTTCTTCATTTTTTCTACAGCAATTTACAATTGAGTGTAGCTTGAAGAGTGATCATGTAGAATAACATCTGCCAATACAAGATATTATCGATTATCAAGTTATACTCGGTACACAAGGTTCTTGCCTAATGTGGAGTTTAGAAGAGGCAAGTGATTGACGATTTTACTCTCATTTTGCAGAGATTGATTACTGAATTCCTACTCGATGCGTATCACTTGTGCAGAGGGAACTACTTCATTGTATATAGGTCTCACATTTATTTGAACTTTGTTCGCTTGCCAGAGAAGGATAAAACAGAAGCCCAACAATCAAATGCTGTAACTTGAAACTGAACACTAAGGAAAGCCAAGTAGTTTGAGGACCTATTTCAGCTTTGCCAACTGATTATCGACCATCTAATTTACAGACTTTCTGTTGTCTTCAAAATTTTCACTCTGCTCAACCAACAGGTAAGGGAAGCCCGTGGCCCACCCCTCTCTACGCCCCCATGTCACCACCACAGCAAGTAGTTAAGAACATGCCATGGTGAACAAATGAAACCGACAAGTTTTCCACTAGTTACTCAATAAGCTGCAAATAAATAGCATGAAACAAGCGGAGTGGTTAGTTTTTGACCTCCCAAATCCTTCAGGATGAGGCAACAAGGAACGTTCATTCTCTTTGATGAACAGCCTCTCGAATTATGCCCTTTCCCTACGCTTTAGGAGACTACGCGGAAGGCTCATACTTCCGACAGCTTTTGGATCTTTGTTCACTTGCTCAAAGTTGATATTTCTCCCTTGCTTGTTCAAACTTCAGAACAAGGAGGCCTAGTTCTTCAATGTATGCATAGGGGATCTTGGGTTAGTCAGAATGGCACAATGCAGCAACCTTACCCAAGGCACAACCTTGGGTTGAGTCTCGTTGAGTCATCGGCTAGTCAGACCCCTACCATACCCCTTGGATATAGCATTAGGGCAATGGATTTTGGTAGAAAAAGGAAGAAAATACATAGGGTATGGTTTTTCCTTTCATCAATATATATAGAGCTAGGGTGGTTGAACTAGCCCAAGCAACGCGTTGCAGCAAGAGTTCTGGAATCAATTTCACAAAAAATGTGGCATTACTGTCTACCACTTACCTCTCCTAGTCTGTGTTATTTGTGCGTNGGGTGGTTGAACTAGCCCAAGCAACGCGTTGCAGCAAGAGTTCTGGAATCAATTTCCCAAAAAATGTGGCATTACTGTCTACCACTTACCTCTCCTAGTTTGTGTTATTTGTGCATNGCCCAAGCAACGCGTTGCAGCAAGAGTTCTGGAATCAATTTCACAAAAAATGTGGCATTACTGTCTACCACTTACCTCTCCTAGTCTGTGTTATTTGTGCGTACGATCTCTTTACATAGAGATTGGTGCCTGTGATGATCCTCAATCACTGGCAATTAGTCAAACAACTCATTTTTCACCACCGAAAGTTATAATACACTAACCAGAACTTATTCATGAAGAATAGCATAAAGTTGCCCAACAGGGAATCAATCACAGCACAACTTTATCTGTTAACCATTTCCTTTTCATCTTTATATTCTCTTTTTTCCACCATTCCTTTCTTTTATTACACAACAGTTCTTCACAACAAAGAAACCAAAACAACAACAAAGATGAGCTGCTTTAGGCCCAAGAGTTCCAAACCTCTCTCCTACACAAAAACCTCCTCACCTGAACCACCAAGACAACAAATCCCAGAACCCCAGAATGTGAACCATGAAGTTCTGCTATGCATTCCAGGATGCAAAGTTCATGTGATTGACAATGGGGAAGCTTCAGAACTTGGCAATGGTGATTTCACACTTTTTCGGATATCGGAAAACAATGTCTCTCTTGCTACTGTCATAAATATTAATGAGGATCTTCAGTGGCCATTGACAAAAGATGAACCAGTAGTGAAGCTTGATGCTCTTCACTACCTGTTTTCATTGCCGGTGAAAGATGGTGATCCTTTGAGCTATGGAGTAACTTTTTCAGAACAGAATGGTGCCAGTTTGGGCTTGCTGGATTCATTTCTGAAGGAACACTCATGCTTTTCCAGTTCAAAGTCGCCAACCCAAAATAGAAATGTTAATTGGAATGAGTTTGCACCAAGGATTGATGACTATAATAATGTTCTAGCCAAGGCAATTGCTGGGGGGACTGGTCAGATTGTCAAGGGCATCTTCAAATGTAGCAATTCTTACACCAACCAGGTCTGTTGTATTAATGTTAACACATTTTCAGTAAAAAAGAAATATCTCTAGTTTAGTTTAATAAACAGCTAGGTTCCACAATTCTAGACAAAATTTGTGAATCCGACAAAATTGAAGTTTAGTCTTGGTGTGTTTTAGTTAAAAATTGGTAGAAACTCGTTAAACTCATCAAATTAATAAGTCGATATGAACCCAGTTAACCACGATATATACAAACTTACTACACACAGCTTGAATCCGGATTGTGCATGACACGAATTCCACACAATACGAACCCAACAATCTATTATTATAAATGGGTGGAATATGAGTTGAATAAATTTGACATGACATCAGTCAGAAGACTAGACATGATTTACTGACAGCACTAACGCAGCATAATTGATAATGGCAAAATGGCTGNATCTATTATTATAAATGGGTGGAATATGAGTTGAATAAATTTGACATGACATCAGTTAGAAGACTAGACATGATTTACTGACAGCACTAACGCAGCATAATTGATAATGGCAAAATGGCTGAAGCACAATCAAACTCTGTAGTAGCAATTTGTAACAGGCTGGGCTCAAATAATTTTGTTAAACTTCATTTAGAGATAAATTGAGTAAAAGGACTAGGAATGAAAAATTTATAAGCATATTCATGTTATGCCCATGTAATGGCAGGAGTTTCATGTACTGAGCCGTTTTATACATATTAAGCCATTCTAGTTGGCTAAAGGTTACTTTACATTAGGAATTGGGGATGGTAACCCTCAGATTCTTTAGTTTAATGACTAAATGTCCCTGAATTAAAAAAAAACCAAACAAAGTTTAAATTATGAATAAAATAACATGCTGATCATTGCTGATACCCTGTGATTATTGTTACCATGGTNGTAACCCTCAGATTCTTTAGTTTAATGACTAAATGTCCCTGAATTAAAAAAAAACCTTTCACAAAGTTTAAATTATGAATAAAATAACATGCTGATCATTGCTGATACCCTGTGATTATTGTTACCATGCTCAGCCAAAAATCTTAAACATGGGCTGTTTCATCATTGGTGTCAAAATGTATCATTTCTAGCATTGTATGAGGCAATATATGGTTCAGATTATTTGGTAACTAGATGGTGTAACAGATTGATTATGCTTCACTTTTATGTCAAAATGGTTCATGAAACAAAGAAAAAATTGCTGGTAAAAACAGGTTCAAAAGGGAGGGGAAACCATTTTAATTCGTGCCGTGGATGAGAACAATGGTGCCTCAGCAAGTGAAAGTCAAAGCAAGAAGAGCAATATTACCAGAAGGAAGAGTGGAGTCAATAAAAGCCTAAAACGGTATCTTTGATTTACAGCTTAATCTTTGCAAATCAAAATAATGTTTAAAGATGATTACTTATGCCCAATAAGTCGAAAAGTTAATATTTTTGCTAGTTGAACTGTATCATATAGTGTTAGAAAGCTGTCCAAGATGACTGAAAAGATGAGCAAAGCTATGCTTAATGGAGTTGGCCTTGCTACCGGCTCAGTGATGACACCAGTGGTTCGATCCCAAGCAGGGAAGGCATTCCTAGCCATGGTTCCCGGAGAGGTCCTCTTGGCTTCTCTTGATGCAGTCAGTAAGTAAACCATAGTTTCCACATGATCTGCCTTTCCATTACATTAATTTTAGTATCAGTAACTTTTTTGTAACCTGTACCACAAAAAAGTTAGAATAAAACATTGTTGAGTTGAGTTGAATGTACAGTTTATAACTCTAATTTTTCGAGAAGAAGTGATGACTTAATCCATCTTCGAATTACAGACAAGGTTCTAGATGCAGCTGAAGTTGCAGAGAAACAAGCCTTCTCTGCTACATCTGGAGCTGCAACCAGGATGGTCAGTAACAGGTAAAGACCCTAAACATAGACTTCAGACTGCATTTACTTGTTATACATTCTCTCATTCCTCACAGTATGAAAAAGGAAGTGACAAATTGCTCAAGCTAATAACATTCTATTATTTGCGTATTTAAGTGTTCATACGAGATAAAATCCACTGAATGGAAGTCGAATCTGTCACATTTGATATCCTATGTACATGGTATAGATGACTTGGATTCATTCTCTTCTATATCTTTCATTCGGTCTCAAATCTGGGGTAACGACATCGTTGTTTTACATCATGGGCGGAGCTATGTAATGTGCAGGGTTGGCAAGTGCCCCCCTCAAAAATTCTTTTTTTTTTTTTAATTATATGTATATATAAAAATAATAATAATAAAAAATACATAACAACTTGGATTTCTATCCCTTACATATTTTCCCCCTAAAAATATCACATCACTCATTTCTATCACATGTTTAACCATTTATATATTTTTCCCCACTAAAAATATCGCATCACTCATCTTTATCATATGTTTAATTATTTAATATTTGATTTATTTGTAGCTAATATAATTTTTATTTCAAACATTATTCATATACGATAGTATATACATGTTGAAAAAATTTAATATAATGTGATCGATTTTTTAGATACTCAAATTTTATATTTTATCGTGCCTTCAGACAAGAGTTTTATATATCCCTTGTGCCCACCTAAAACTAAAGACAAAAATGCTAGGTCCACCACCTCCACCTAAAAAAAATTAAAAAACCAAGTCCACATAAAACCAAAAAAATTCTGGGCTCATATTGTTGAAATTTAAGTATCGTACAAAAAATTAAAACTTAATCACGTTAACTCAATGGATTGATTTCCAAAACTTGGGATAGATTCTAAATTGTTGAAATTTGATATTGATCCAATTTTTAACTAATTGAGTTGTCGATTGATTATGATTTATCATATCTTCTTAGTTTTTTATGAGTATGGTATGAAGTTTTAGATTTTTCTGCAATACTTGTAATCATATAGATAGGGGTGCAACTTGGCAGGTCAACCTGAATTCAATCCGAGCTCAACCTGAAAAAAAAAGGGCTTATGTTAGATTTTTTACTTAAAATTGAGGGTGATTTCCCCTAGATAAACTTATAATGACTTGAGTTTTAGAAAGAAACTTATTTAAGAGTAAGTCCATGCTTAAACTTATATGCAGGTACTTAAGTCCACTTATTTTTTAAATTTCAAAATTACCTCTAACGGTGTTAATTTTGTCGAGTTATGGAAAGTTACATAGGTTATATTATTGAGGTATATATGGAAATCTTTGATTGATTATATATGTAAACCGTTTATTAAATACTATGATAATTAACGAAAGTTTTATATGGAAGTTATATATGAAAAACTTAATGTACGAATAAATTGTTGGTCTATTAAGTCAAAATTAAATTACAAAATTTTCTTAACAACAGTAATGCATAATATAGAGAGACTTAATAATGTCAACAGAGTTCAGTAACGCGAATGTTAATATATAGTAATATTCATATTATTATATGATTAAAGTTACAATTAAGGTCGTGTTACCAGTATAGTTGTGTTACTATACTGACACTATGTTATTATATTAAATTTTAATATACAATTGTAAACCTTGAGACATATATTATGTAACATACACTTTAATATTCACAGTAACATAAAAATTTTGTGCTCAGTAATGCATCTAATTTTACAAAATACAAGACAATAGTTTTTTTATAGTAACATCAACTTTTGAATGATTTTAGTGAAAATACAATCCACAAATTGAAAATTTACAAAAATGACAAGTAATAACACACAATCGACAGTTGAATTACAACACTCAACACCAATTACGAACATTAAGATATTGAAATTCTAAACTCCATTTTTTGATTCACGTACAGTAACACGAACTTTTTCCACAGTAACACAACCAATGAATATTCGATTGTCTTGCGCAACAAAAAAATCAATAAAATTGAAATCTATAACACTTTAATTTAGCACTAATGTATGATTTCTCTTGAATCTTGATTACAAAATTAATGCCCACTTTGACATAATTAAATCTCTAATTGTTATTACTTTTTTACCATTTTACTATTTTTTGTGAACATGTTACTATTTTTTTAGTAATCATGTTACTGTCTTTATTGAGTATGTTACTATTATTATTTTATAAATATTAAGGTTTAATATTAATATTTTGTCGATGAAGTCCAAAGTAAATCAGAATAATAAATTGAAATTGTATTTTATGAAATATAATGAGTTTGAAATTTGAACATGAACGATTTTTGGTAAATATCAGTTTTTTGTTTTTCGGATAAGGAAACATTGTGACTTAGAAGATTGTAGCCGGATATGAAGGCAATTATAAGGGAGATGTATATGACTGGTTATTGTGTCCATAAACGTCGTTTATAACATTCCTATAGAAAATGGTTACAATAGTAAAATTGACAAAAAATGAACTTAAAACTAAATAAATTTCTTTGACGACTTATCTCCAAATAAGTATATATAAAGGACCGACCTCCAAATTTTTCAATTTTTAATACTTGGGTTGAACTTGGACAAAAAAATTCTAATCCGAATTGAATTTGGACAAACCTCGGGTTGTTGGGTTCAACCCGAATATACATAAATATATATATACATATTTAACTAGGGTTAATATTTATCTTTACTCTTTAGAGTTCAGACTTTTACTTCACTTTAAGTTTTCACTCATGTACATACATCACTCTTAGATCCCTCTCTCACTCGTCATTCTTCCCTCGCTTAGCCTCCTTTTCTTAATTGTCACTCGTCTGAATCATTTCAGACTCTTAGCCTCCCTCTTTCACCCATCAGTCCTCCCTTTTGCACTCTCCCTTTCTTCATCTGTGCCTCGCCTTGCATCTCAAACCACTTAAAAAAATCAATTCTATACTTGAAAATTTTAAATCTACACTTCAAAAAATCAACCCGAATTAAGTCACTCAAGTCCAACCCGATTTTTAACCCGAAATCAACTTAAATTAAGTAATCCGAATTCAACCTGAGCTCGTCCGAATTAAACTCGGGTAATACTCGAGCCGAGTATTTCAGGTTGAGGTAGGGTTAGGGTTAGAGTTAGAGATTATATACCTAGGGTTAGGTTAGGGTTAAGCTCTCAACCCGCCCAACTCGCCTGAGTTGCACCCTACATATGGATAATACTGAGTAGTATTGTAAAGACAAATAGAATAATGAGACAAATTTTTTATTTTATTAAGACTCTTTTCAGATGTATTTAATTTTATTATTTCTAATTTTTTACAAGTGAAAGTTCTTGTAATTGACCTTCATTTAACTTTTTTTTTTTAACGAGAAATCGTTTCAATTTTTATTCAAGTATTGATTATAGTTTTTGCTATGTGTCAATCGATTTTATATTTTTTTACTATGTTTAGCTTTTAAATTTTAGTTTAATAGTTTTACTATGTTAATATTTCAATGTGCTTGGAACATCATTTATTGAATAAATTTAATGAATTGTTAGTCAATAACTGATATGTTTTAATTACAAAAATGACAATTAGCTCCATTTTTTACGATGGTGATAATTAGTCATTTTTTGTACATATAAAATATGCATTATTTTTTGGCATTTTTTATGTTAAATGGAATTTATGTATCAAATGTGATATAATAAATATAAATATAATATACAATGTGATTAGTTATGAAGAAAAAAAATTAGAGTGCGTAATTAAAATGTCCACCCTGAATAAAATTTTTAGCTCTGCCCCAGTTTGAAATAGTTCCTCTCCTTTAACTCTGGCCTTGTAGCTATAGTCAGGCATGATAGAATTTGCTTATTTATGAAGTCCTTAACATAGTTTTGTGTTTTTTTTTTTATCCAAAATGCTCCATGTTAATGAGCTTTTCTAGTGTTGAGTTCATTGTTTTCCCACTCTTAAGTCTCAACTACACCATGCGATAGTTACCCTTCTCATACAATNTTTTTTTTTTTAACGAGAAATCGTTTCAATTTTTATTCAAGTATTGATTATAGTTTTTGCTATGTGTCAATCGATTTTATATTTTTTTACTATGTTTAGCTTTTAAATTTTAGTTGAATAGTTTTACTATGTTAATATTTCAATGTGCTTGGAACATCATTTATTGAATAAATTTAATGAATTGTTAGTCAATAACTGATATGTTTTAATTACAAAAATGACAATTAGCTCCATTTTTTACGATGGTGATAATTAGTCATTTTTTGTACATATAAAATATGCATTATTTTTTGGCATTTTTTATGTTAAATGGAATTTATGTATGAAATGTGATATAATAAATATAAATATAATATACAGTGTGATTGGTTATGAAGAAAAAAATTAGAGTGCGTAATTAAAATGTCCACCCTGAATAAAATTTTTAGCTCTGCCCCAGTTTGAAATAGTTCCTCTCCTTTAACTCTGGCCTTGTAGCTATAGTCAGGCATGATAGAATTTGCTTATTTATGAAGTCCTTAACATAGTTTTGTGTTNGTGCTTATTTATTTTCTGTTATTTTATTTATATTGCTTCCATTGATTTACACTTGTGGGAAAGCCTATTTTCCCAACAGTTTTGTGTTTTTTTTTTATCCAAAATGCTCCATGTTAATGAGCTTTTCTAGTGTTGAGTTCATTGTTTTCCCACTCTTAAGTCTCAACTACACCATGCGATAGTTACCCTTCTCATACAATTCACTAAGTGACATTTATTTCCTTTTTTTGCCTTTCTTGCCCTATCAATCTCTGATTTATACACCATACTTGAGCAACAGGTTTGGGGAAAGTGCGGGGGAGGCGACAGAGGACGCTCTTGCAACTGCAGGACATTGTTTTGGGATTGCTTGGAATATCTTCAAGATACGGAAGGCGATTAATCCTGCCTCATCTGTCTCCTCAGGAGTACTGAAGAATGCTGCGAAAGTTAGGAAATACTAATACCCTCGTGGAATGAAATTCAGAAACATGAAAGCCACTGTTTCTTACTTTGATCCAGTCAGAGTTCCTCCAAATATGAGCAGCAAAAATGAATTCATAACCGTCAGTTGTGACGTATGAAGAAGTTGAAATACTGATCAAAATGGAATGNAATACCCTCGTGGAATGAAATTCAGAAACATGAAAGCCACTGTTTCTTACTTTGATCCAGTCAGAGTTCCTCCAAATATGAGCAGCAAAAATGAATTCATAACCCTCAGTTGTGACGTATGAAGAAGTTGAAATACTGATCAAAATGGAATGTATGATTCTGGTGCAACCCTTTTCCATTTTTGATCCATTACCATCAAATTCGTAATTTATTCTTAAAAATTCGGATTTATATTCTACTACCGTCCTACATTGTTGCAACGCAAGATGTTTCACAAGAAGTGATTGTAAGATCTATAAATTGTGCTTGTATATTATTATTAATTAGAGGTTAGGTGTTTTATAAAGTTTGATTAATCGTTTTAAATGTATAGAGAGTGACTCACGTGTGTCATACAATTGCTAATCCTTTTAACTGTCGGGGCATATATTATATTATGACAAGACAAGGCACGATGCATTGTATAGTTCCAAAAAAAAAAAAAAAAAAACAAAAAAATATGGGCACAATGCATTTTACACCCCTCAAATATGGGCCAAATTTCAATTTTGTCCCCCAAGTTCTAGTTGGATCCATCATGTCCTTCAATTGACTTTTAGTTTAGTCATTTCATTCAAATCTATTAATTTGATCTGATAAAATGGAGTCATGTAACCAACACCTCACTTATAAAAGGGCCGGGTTTGTTTTACCAACAAAATAAAATCTTGCCTTGGTAGCTCCTAATACTCTTTGTTTTGTTTGTATTTCCATTTGTTCGAATAAGCAGTGTTGTCGCCGAGTTAGGTAACCCAAGTTCTACTCGAGAATTGAACCTTTGACTCAAGAGGTTCAGACAAATGCAGTACTTGGTTTGAAGGGGTTCGAGTTTGGATTGAGTAGGAGTTGAAGGTTTTATATGTGGGTATAAATTGACCTCTCACCGTGTCTAACCCACTTGAGCTGACCTGTAGTTAGCGGTGACAATTTTTAACACGATATTAACGGGGTAGGATTGGTCATTTATTAATATGAACTTGTATATGACATGATCCGTTAACATGAATAATAAATGATTTAAGTTAGTGTCAAATATGAACAACACGAAATTAACATGATTAACACGTTTAAGTAGTATAAAAATAAAATATTATATTTTATCAAATAATGACCTAATTCTTGTACAAAAAAAAGATATTTTTACTCATTTTTATTATTGTAATTATTAATAATTTATAGAAAAAGTAAGAGTAAATGTTTGATAAAGTGATAATAAAATTTTAAATATAAAACTGAGTGCCAAATTTTTTATTCACAAATTATATGAATCAATACGAACATGATTTGAAAAAAAATAGGTCAACATGACATAACATGATTAGCTAATAAGCTGAGTTATAATTGATTAGTGCTCAATACGAATACGACCCGACACGATATGGTTACCACCCTACTCGTAGTTTGAGCATAGGAAAAAAGTGACATACATATAGGCCAAAATCAGGTGAGTATGCACAAATGGTACGTCAAGGATTTGGAGGTGGTTGGGCATTGTAGTTTTTGTACAACACATGAAAGAAAAATATGACAATGTGTATACAATATCATTGTTTCTTCTGCATGACCATCTTTAGATAACATTATAGAAAATAATCTATGAAGTAGGCATATAGGAAAGGACACTGCCCCAGATTGCACCAAAAACAGGTTCTTCTTCAATTCCCTTACTTTATATTAATCAAATCCATCACCAAATAGATTTGGGGAAACACCGTGGGGACCAAAAGCACTAAGTTTGGTTCTGGTTTTTTTATGTGGTCCAACCTTGAAAATAGGTTTTTTTTTTTCAAAGCTATCCCACCATCTTCCTTTATGTTGTTGTTTGTGATTAGGGGATAAAATAAAGAGTAATGCTATTTAGATTTAAAAATTTGACATTATTTACTGACTTAATGATGTAATTTTATTAGAACCATTGAACCAACATCAAGTTTTAATGTTAGATAGAACCCATAATCAATCTAAATGCCATAATAAAATAAGTCAGTAAATAAAATTAGATTTTTAAGTTCAAATAACATTATTTTAAAATTAAACCAGTACTTAGTATTAGAAAGTGACCAGTCACTTTGAAGGCCAGTTTTTCCTTGTAAACAAATTAATCCGAGATTTTTTTGGGGGGTTAAATCTAGAAGATTAATGTCGGGAAATTTGACCGTAAAATATTCAATTTTGAATAGCATAGCATTTGGAGGCAAAATATTCCTTCTTTTTTTCGGCGAAAAGAATAAAAGCTAATCTTCTACGATAAAACAATTAGTGGGANCCCATAATCAATCTAAATGCCATAATAAAATAAGTCAGTAAATAAAATTAGATTTTTAAGTTCAAATAACATTATTTTAAAATTAAACCAGTACTTAGTATTAGAAAGTGACCAGTCACTTTGAAGGCCAGTTTTTCCTTGTAAACAAATTAATCCGAGATTTTTTTGGGGGGTTAAATCTAGAAGATTAATGTCGGGAAATTTGACCGTAAAATATTCAATTTTGAATAGCATAGCATTTGGAGGCAAAATATTCCTTCTGTTTTTTCGGCGAAAAGAATAAAAGCTAATCTTCTACGATAAAACAATTAGTGGAATTGTAGAATTTGAAGTATACCAAGTTTTTCAAATAATTCTAGCTTTATCACGTAGTTAATTTGAAGCATGTGAATTAAATTAGAACCCAACAACAACGATTGCACATCAAGTACATAATAATATTCAAGATACTGACGTTTGAAACCTCCCTAAATTGGAAAGAAACAAAGAAAAGGGACAAAGTTGTCACCCATTCATCAATATATAAGCAAAAAAGGCTGAACAAATATCACCAGATACCCAAAGTTTTACAGCCTAATATGATAAAGATGGCCACAAAGAACTTTATATGTGTATAGGGTCGTTTGTGGGAAAACCACCATTTGACTCGAAGGTGACATATGCTTGCACCTTCTTGTGACATAAAAAAATTTCCGATTTAAGGGGTATAGGTTAACTTGTTTATTATGGGGACTTTTTTTTTTTTTTTCACAGAAATGCGGGGTTTGTGAGTAATTATGTTCATTTGATATTTTTGTTGCACCAATGAGCCCAAAAAACTTGTGCGGTTACTAGAGGGAAAAAAAAAGAGAGAAATAATAACTTGAAAAGTGATATGTCAAGAAATTACTGGAAAGAAATTCAACACTGGAAAAAATTTTGAAAAAAAAAGTCGAGAATAATGAGAGAATATACCTAGGTGTAAAGAAAATATATGAATTAAGTTATACCCTAAAATTGTACCTAAAGTTCAACTTGACTTAAAAAATTTAAACAAAATGCAATAGTGGAGTTAAGGGCTTCGAGTCCGGATTGAGTAGGAATTGAAGGTATTATAATTTGAGTTGGGTCCGAGATAATCTCTCAACCTGTCTAAATCACTGAGTTTGACCCGTAATTTGAACTCACCAATTACTTTCAATTAATCAAATGCATCTCCATGGGAACCAAAAACGGTGATTTTGGTTAAGAACCTTATTTGTACCCTATGAAATGGAGCTCAATAACTGTGATTGTGTATCAAGTATAAATAATTTATCATGATATATACTAGCTATTGAAACCTACATAAATTGTAAAGAAATAAAGAAAAAGAGAACAAAAGTTGTCATCCACTCACTAATATATATGGATAAACAATGCTAAAAAAAATAGTACCTAAAGCCAAAAGTTATGCAGCCTATGGTGCACACAACACACACGCGCGCACCCNATGTAGCTAGCAAGTGATACATCAAGAAGAAGAAAGCAAAAAAAAAAGTGAACAAAAATAGGGTAACTAGCAAGTGCTACACTGAAAAACATACGGGTAGGGGAAGCTAAGAAGTGTTTCACCCCTAAAAAAATCCAATAGAAAAATATGACTCACGTGTGTGAGAGAATGTTGGAACCTACAAGTGAGGTTGGCAAAAGCCGTCTCACATCGACTGCACAAGAAAAAAGATTAGAGCTTAATATGCAAAATTCGAAACAAAAAACTCTGAGATCGAGCTTAAGATTTTGAGTTCAGTTTGTATGCAAATTCTATCACTAAGCTCTCCAGTTGATAACAAGAGTTCAATTTTGAAAACTATATTATGGTGTAAAACTAAGCCACAGGAAGAAAAACTGAAGCACAAGCTTCATTTTAAATCGAAGAAGCTTCCATGCATGCGAGCATTTCAGCATAACAAAAAAGAGGATAAAGTTTTGTTCTTGGTGCTTAATCGAATCATATTCTAAAAAACCATGTTACACTTTCTGGGGAAAAACCATTCTGGATGCATTTCCCAAAGTATATGAAGATAATGGGTCAAAAGTGGAATGTTTTTACACTGTTAATCTGTGTCAAAAACACGATTTAAATGTGACAATATAGAGAATAACATGAGTACATCACCCAAAGAAAAGGCAATTGCACCAGATTTGGGGATTAGAATTTTATGTAAGTTACTGGTCAATGCACTTGCGAGAGCATCTAAGACTCTTGCAAAAAAAGCAATCTCATCTTTTTGTTTACTTTTTGTTTTATATAATGCCTTTGCTAATAGGACTTGCTTCACCTGCCTGCTAATATAAATGCCCATTTCAAGTCATTGTGTTGTGTAGTTCTCTCATTCTCATCTCAAAATTCTGCACAAGGTATTTAATCCCAATTTGTTAATTCTTTTCCCTCTTTTGATGACAAAATAATCTTACAATTTTCACCTTATTTTGATCCAATAAATGAATTACAGAGTGTTTGACGTCAACTGCCACAAAGTTCATACATACTTGGGAAATGTTCCGATCGTGAGAGGAGATGAA